AACCACGTGCGGTTTTAATGAACGGTTCCTGCGATATTGTCGTCCTTAGACAAGATCAAAGGACTGTACACTTACCATAGGAGTTAAGGAAACATTGTTTTGGGAATCAAAAATTTTACGAGCCAATTCATAATCCACATGCGCAGTAAAACACTGGCGACGGCATATACACCCCCTGTTGTTGTGCATCCTCGAGGACGTTAGTCTGAAACAACTGAAACCATTTTCGCTAAGCTGTCCTAAACTAAACCTTATGAAATTTTGTAGTGTAGATGCTCATTTTTTTCCTAAAACACTAAGCGTTTTTATTAATGTTTCAGGAATTTCGTGTGCTGTACGGGGTATTCCCCTAAAAGAGCTTTCACAGTCTTGATAGGAAGCCATCCAATGTCATGATCTTTTAGGCAAAATTTCAAGGCACCGAACCCTGTCTTCCTATAACCAATAAAAGTTTCCACATTGAACCTTTGAGAACGTTTTTCTATCGGAATCCGCCAGCGGATAAGGAGTTGATCGCTTCAGCTTTTGCAGACGAGGAAATTACCTTAAGTTGGCCTTGGATGGGTTTAATGGCGGCTTGAGAGGATAGTGAATTGCTTTGCCACAACTAGTTTCATTACCCTATTTCGCATATTTTCGGGGCTATACTATACCTGCCAGGCCACTTGAGAGACACTTAGGGATCTCTGCACCTAGTCCACTGTCGCTCTTGGTATCATGGGGCCGAGTTGGATGATCGCATTGTAGATCTGAACCAGCTTTAGCAGTGTAGAGTTTATACATAAATCACATGATAGGCCATACTGACAACACAGGTACTAGCTAAAAGTCCAGACACGTGCCTCGCCGATATTCTGTACCCCTGCGTGACACAACGGCGGAGTTTCCCGACCAGCGATGATTTTCTTCAATTGATATGGCCTGAAAAGTAGGTTGAATTTAATGGCTGTGACCACGTATACGATCTACAATGGCGTCTTCAGATGTTGTCAAGCGGCTGAATAATAAGCGGTTTGCCTGTTGTCCCCCGTAATTCCAGTGGCATTTTTTGACCTCCGTGCAACTGGCCTATAGAACGCGTTTTGGCCTGTCTAGCGGACTGTAGCCGTTGACTCCGACTCTGTGTGCTGTGTATACCTTGCCTACTCACACTTTCCCCGCACTTATTCGTTACCGGTCATTCACGGCACAGTCGTACTAACTTGTAAGACATGTGTACACATCGTTTTCGCATATGCATATACTATCCATTCTCTCCTGTCTCCAGTGTGAACGCTTACTCCTATCACGCATCGACTTAGTGAGACTAATGCAAATCCATTGCAGTACAATCAGAGAACCACTGCCAGGAAACCCAACCAACACCTGTGGGGTTCGCCGTACATGCACTGGCATATCGTATTGGCCCTCTCGCCTATGTAGGCGTACACATTAACACTTATTTAAGCCTCATCCGTCGCTTATGCAGAAGTCATGCAGCGCAGTTTTCCAGCCTTGGCAATAACATGTGATGCATCGGAAGTGTGGTTGTCTGTGTTGGCGCAGATTAACGGACGCTTCACCATCCACTGGCCACTGTGCTTAATCTCATCTCTGATCGACATGACTCGAAATTGTCCCGGGTTTGGGTGATAAAACGGGAATTGGAGTAACTTCAATTCAGTTCCAGCGCCCATTGTTCTTCCCATTAGTAGCTTGATACACTTTTACCTACCCCCACGCGCCGGCAGTTGGAACTCGGAGGCTTGCAAACTGTTGGGATCTTTTGCTGCTATTCAGAAAACTGAGGGTCAGTCTGCAGTGACATTTTATTCGCCCTTTCTTCCGTAAGATTCGAAGGTCTCTCTCTGTGGGATATTTCGTTTGTGTGTCCGTAAGAACCAGCACGCATGTGGCACGCGTAAACTAGGAGTTGGGCTCTGCGCTTACATCCATTTACAGTTAACCTGTTCCGTAATGGTGGATTCTATACGGGCGGGTAAACTCGACCCAAGTGTGATTAAATTCACGGCTCATGGTGAGCCTCGTAGCCCAATGGTAAAGCGTTGGCTGCGCAAAAGCCTTTCCTGTTGTGTGGGTTCGAATCCCACCGAGGCTGCAGATTTTTAAAAATTGGGTCAACCAAATTAAGCAAACCTACCAAATTCTCCTAACTGTTAACTTGTTATTGGATATGCGGGTATGGGAGGAAAAGGTGAGGTAGATATGGCCTAAGTTTGTTTCACTATGATCGGCCTTGCATTCCGGTCCCCATTATGCCCTCTATATGACATAGCGATGACCCTTGTCGTTTGCAACAGAAGAAGTCGTTCCCACTACTATGCTCGATCGGAAAGATGCATCGTTTGATCAGAGATTCAATTCCTCCTCTGCACTTGGTTGTATCAAACGTTTCTATGGACATATCTGTCGTCCTTCTTTCGCGTCTTGATTGGTAGACTCCGGTCGTTGGATAGCTGGGTAAGAGGACACTGTTTTGACGATACTAAAGCCTTCTTCATCACTGAGTCAAGCGATTTTGCTTAACTGTAATAGTTAAAAAGGTTACTTTATGAACGTAATCTGATAACCAATGAATAGCACTGTAAGTGAACTCCTGTTCTCCGATTTCACCTTCCCTCAGGTTGATCCAAAAAAGGGCAAAAGTAGCTTATGTAGCCCCACTCATATACTCCTAGCCCCAGAATTCTGTCCTGCAAAAACGGTGGTTATAGAGTGTTGATGGGTGGGGAAATAGGATAGGCAGAGAAGGAAATTTTCAGAAGTGTAAAGTGAAAAAATGTAGTCGAAGTTGCTTCC